CTGATGCTGGAACATATGCTAACTACTCTGGCAGAGGACTTGGACAAGGTGCGTTCTACTAAGTCGGCCTGACAACAAGACCAACGTGTGAAAACGAGGTCAACCCACTTCTATAAATCGAAAGGAGACTGCGACGATACCGAGGACCACACCATCTTGGTCTTCATATCGTCGAAAATAGAGGCTAAATTGTGGACTTGACAAGACCGGTTGCGTTAGCCTCTGAGCTCGAGCTATTGCCGAGACGAGGCTGCGCGAAAGTCGCTCGTGGCGTGTGGGAGACGGCTGCCCTCCCAGCCCAGTTCGGTACAAGCAATGCAACTCGCCAAATGTACTCACCTTTTGTCTGGAAGATTGCGAGGTCGATGCGAAAGCGAGGCAAGTGGTTGTAATTCCCTAGACCGGGCCGCCTCAACGGGGTAAAGCAAGAGAGCGTGATGAACGAGAGAGGGAGAGAGGGGGGAGGGTGGGAGGGCTAAATCCACTCAAATTGATCACGGGCCGGCACTTGGCTGGGGCGTAGGCACGAGTAGATCCGAAACTAGAACACTTTTAGGAAGAAAGAGAGGCGGACGGTGGCGAAAGTTCAATTTCCCAGCGCAGCCGCGGAAGTGAACGCAACTGGGAGCCGGTCTTCCGGAACACTGCTCACACTCACTGCCAGTAGTCGTCCCGAGGGTGAGATTGTGCGCCTTGCGGGCTAATCGTGCGTGTGTGTGCAGACACGTGTGCGTCTGCGCCTGCGTCTGCGTCTGAGTGTGCTTCTGGGTGTGTGTGCAGCCAGTAGGCCAGTAGGCCGTGTCCTGCCTATCGAACGAGCCGCCCGTTTGCCCGGCAGTTGAACCTTCTCTCCCATGCCACTCGGCACCACCTCACACCACAAACGCGCGCTCACGACGCACCCGCGCACACGCGTCTGCACACAGCAGCCCGAGCAGGCAGGCAGGCAGGCAGGTAGACACTCAGGCATGCAGACGCCAGAGCCGAGATGAGGGCGGCACTTTGAGCCTGCACATTTTGCCCATTCGTCGGGCTGGCTGGTCGGCTGGCCGGCTGCACGAGACAAGCGCACACAAAGCACCAGGCGTGCGTCTCGGCCGCCTCCGCTTTCAACACACTCGTTTCTTCCAATCGAGACGAGGCAGAGGCGGCGAGGCGGAAGCTCGGGTGCATTACAGGCCCTCTTGGGATAGATCCAGCAACCAAGGCGACGAGACGAGCAGCTTGTGCACATGTGTGCGTGTGCTTGCCGGCCGGGTTGCAAGAGGACAGGCGAGCCCGAAGGCTGTGACTGGGCGTCCAAAGCCGGTCCCGCCTATTGACAACTCTGATGGCCGTGCTGCCTACCGGCAGCACACACGTCTACACCGAGGTGTGTGTGTGTG